TTTGGCTTAGGGCTACGTCTAGGATGGGATATACAGAAAACACTTACCACAGGAGCAGGCGCAGGGCCGGATTTGCTAAACAGAAGCTCTTTGTTTCACACAAGTACTTGGAGGCTCGGCCTTAGATGCCAGAGCTGTTGGTAAATGACTTGCTCCCCTCCCTTGGGCAAGCAGGATGTGTACTGGAGGTGAAGTTTGAGGGATGCTCCCAGCCCCACAGCTGAAATAGAGGAGGAGAGGAACAAATTTTCTTTCTCAATCATTTATTTTTACAGTTTTACTTAAACCTGGCTGCACGGCCCAGGCCTCACTCCTAGAGATTGTTGTCCAGTGTGTCTGGGGTGGGACCTCCATACCTGGGTTATTTGTTTCTCCTCAGTTTCCCAGGCTCTGTTTACGTCCAGGGTTGAAAACTACTGGGTCTAGCAGGTACTACGTGTGATTTCTTAAGGAAGTTAGATGTACTTGTTTGTCATATTACTCTTAAATCATGCTCTATGTTAAAATATACATGTATGGGGCAGCAGTTGAAGACAGGCACGGGTTGCACACTGGGCAAAGTTAAACCTCTAAGTCTGGTTTTGTCATCTGCAAAATAGAATTAATGGTAACACCTATCTCAGAGTTTTTCAAGGATTAGTGACAATAATGAATCAAAAATATTTAGCAGAGTCTCTGGCACATAGCAGAAACTTCATTACTATTATTTACTAACATGTAGCATGTTACAATAGAAGGTGACTTTGGAATCAACTCACTTTTGTCTCAGCTCTTGCTCTGACTTTCCAGTCCTGGGACTTTTGTACTAAAACACTTCATTTCCCCGAACCTCTGGCCTCATATCTGTAAACGGGGATAGATGAGTGCAGTTACTAATACGGAGAGGTGCTCAAGACAAGGAGCTGCTCAGTAAGCCTCTCTGTCACCTTCCTTTCATTCCACTTTTGTAACGTACCTCAGGGAAATGGATATGTTTTAATTTCCAGAACATCATTGACTTTGGTGTGGCCATGTTATGCTGAGATGTTATTACAGATGCTTTTTGTGGCTGTGACAGGTTGTTGTGGGCCTGATCCTTGGGTCTCTGAGAAATAGTTATGGGTCCAAATTGCAACCAGAGTTCGCACAGAGAGTTGTGGTTCCTTGCCTTTCTACCTCCACAGCTGGCTCTGCTCACAGGTTTTCATAACACTGAACTGTTGATTACCTTGTAATTCTCCAGCCTACAGATTGGCTGGGATTCTGTCCTTTTAATCGTGATCGATCTTTGGTGGAGATGTGAGTTCATCCTGGGGCTTCAGAAGGACCCACATTCTTAGAACTCTGCTAAACAGCATAAGAGATCACAGCATATTGTTTTATTCTATAATTGCTTAACATATATGCCAACCAGTTGCTATGAAGCTTTTCGGATTCCTAGGTTTGTAAGAAACTCAGATGTACTTATTCTATCATTTCATCTTCATATTCTACTTGATCACCTAGAGTGGGAAAAGTGACAGTGGCTGAAGGTGACAGAAAGTTGTATCATGAAACAAATTCTTGAGTTATTGATAAGTCTGGAAGTTCTTGTTGGTTCATGTTAGTAGCAGGTATGCTATACTTCTGTGGCAGTTGAAATGCTTCAGTTTTTTTTCTCCTTTATTTTTCCCACTTCTTAGTAACCTAAGTAACTAAGGGTAATATTAAGGCAGCTCCTCTAAGAGCTGGTGAATCATGTGCATATGTCCGTTATGTCTTCAGCAAGATATTTTTAGCAGCTCTGGAATGAGTTCCATGGTTGGTTCATACCCAGCTTCATGGACTATTGTAGTTTAATTTTAAGGGACGCCCAACTTTAAAAAAAAGGTAATATATGGTTGCCAATCAATTCTCCTTTTGAGTTATGCCACTAATTTTTCTGAAAGTTCATTTGTGAATATTAAGGGATTGCAATTTTCTAATAAATGTTTAAAATACGAGGTTTGCCTGGAATCATTTGGCGAATCATTTTCCATGGTTATTAAAATGGACAGGAGAAAAAATAAGTTTGAATGAAAATCTATTTCCACTCCTGTTGTTTGTATTCTTCTTTCTGGGATGTATATATCTTTTATGAAAGAATCAATGCATCCAAATTAAGTAGTTCTAAGCAGTTAGAAATAAAGAGGAGAAAAGGAATCACTATCTTGTCTGTGCATTGTTTTCAAGAGATATCATGCATGATGAGCCTTTCAGGAGAGGACACTTGGCTTTGATAGACCAGCCATCCAACATTATCAAACAAATTGGTAAGACCACCAGGGTGAAGAAATAATTTATGTGTATAAAGTAGATTCTGTGTTTTCTGACAAAGGAGTTCTGTAAATTAGGGATGATTTCTTGGTCTTGTGTCTGTTTCTGGAAGTTCCCACAGTGCCTGACCAGTAAGTGCTTCATAAATATGAAATGAGGGCTTGGGATTTAGCTCAGTGGCACTGCACCTCCCTCACAAGCACAGCAAGGTCTTGAGTTCGATCACTGGTACTGCATAAATAAATAAATATGAAATGAGTAGAAAGCAAATTGCCACAGGAATGGTAAGACAAAGCCTTGGATTCCTGAGAGGAGAAAACCAGGGAGTTCAGGGATGAGCTGGAAACAGCTGAATAATAGTATGTGAAAGGAAGAATGTTAGCGGGAGGGGAGGGTGCATTTTTTCTAGGGTGTCCTTGTGGTGCTCTTGCAGGAAAATGCTGGACAGCAACCCTGGAAGTAGTTTAGAGTAGCAGTTTTGGTCCATGGTGCTCCGCTCCAGAAATTAAATAACAGTTCTTTCCCATTACTTGTTAAAAATGAGGTGCTGGATGGAATAATCCCTGTTATTTTTCTTTTCCTTAAATCTGTGGTCCTTGCTGTTTTTGGTCAATACTCAAAATGGTCTCTACAGAAGTACAGAGTTAGGAGAGTCATTTTAAGGGTAACAAGTCAGTACTTTCCTGAGATCCACAAAGAACTCTGTGGCTTCCTATGAGCTGAGTGAACAAGTTTGAGAACTGCTGTTCTAAAGTGTTAATGAAACAGGCCTCCCCCTGAGACCAGTGAAGAGAGGGGTTCATGGAGCTTGACAACAAATCTAGGAATTGTGTCCCATAAAAGACAGTTCTATTTTGTGCTTGCCCCTTCCCTGGGGCTAGTAGCTTATCTAACAGTGTTATCTATTCATTGCTTTATCTACTCACCTTACCAGTCTTTTGAAACAAGCCTTCCTTGGGGGAAGTTTCTGCTAAGTGGGATTGTGTGAATGTAACACTAGTGTGCAGATAGTAGATTTAGGGTGGCAGAGGAGAAAAAGACAAGTAGTTTGTTCTCTTTCATGAAAATGCCTCTGCCGAGTTTTTTAGAATTTGTTTCTATGTAATAGCTTTCTCTTGAACTAGATCATGTGAAGGATTTACTTTGGGGGGGTGGGGGCTGTTGTTTGTTTTAGCTGCATTTAGATCAGTGATAAAGATTGTTAATTCTGGTCTACCATATTGATTTTTTAAAATTCTTCCTGTTAGGGGAACAATCATTTATTATGATGATTGATCTTCATATTGTCAGCCTAGTGCATATGCAAGTTTTAAGTTGCTCAGTATTTCAATAAGGGAATGTATAACGAAGGCTTGGATGACAGAAGTCTAGGGAGGGGCCACCTAGGAGTGTGTCTAGACTAGCAAAGAAGGCTGAGATTTAAAAATGTGCCGTCTACTTTATAAAACGTATTGTCTTTGAAGTAAGTTGCAAATCTTCAATAGAATACCAATTGACATTTCTGGATAAAGAATTGATGCATCTGATTTCAGTTTAATTAAGAGATGAACAGTGAAGGAGCTGGATGGAATGAGGAAGAGGCACAATGAAAATTCTCTTTTTTAGACCAAACTTGGTAGAAGGTTCAGAAGATGGAAGTGATGAGTGGTAGGGTATGTTTCATAAATTTAGCAAATTATTCTAAGAAGTGGAGGTGGCAGGCTAAAAACTACGGAATCTCAAAAGACAGCGAGCCTTGGAAAAGAGGTGTAAAGAGCTTTTAAACATAGGCTGAAAGTTCAGTAAGTGTTAGTTTCTCTATTCTTTTTCCATCATTGCCAGGGGAAGTGATAATAGTTTTCCATTGTGCTTAAGCACATGTGGGTGATGGTGCTGCTTACTAGATTGCAGGGTAGGCAAAATTAGCTCCCACAATTCAACCGTTCAGCAAGTACTTTGTTGATGTATAATAGCTAAATAAATCAATAGAAAAATAAATACCTCCACACAGGGTTGTACACTCTATGCTGTAAAAGCAAAGCAATAGAAGATACCGGCACTCGCTAAAGGAATACTGGATTCCTCGGGGTGAATGCACACACAGAAGAACAGCCACAGTACAGAACACTTAGGTGCTGCCACAAGAATAATAGCAAAATCAAGAGCTCCGAACAGTAACAGACCTTTGTGGCAGGAACTTCACCCAGGAGGGTGACTCCACAGACGTGGGCTCTGAGTGGCATTCAGGGAAGTGTCAAGGAAGCCTAGGGTTTGAACATGGAGAATGGCATGACCCAAGGCAAGGATATGAGTGACAGGCTCTTCTAGCGAGTAGATCTTGCTCAGTTGGAGAAGCCTAGTAGGAAGCTAGAGAGAGAATACCACAAGCTTGAGTGCCTCAAGGCCTGAGTGAGAGTGGTGAAAGTGGCAAAGGAAAGGTGAAATGGAATCTAAATCATATTAAGAATGAAATATCAAGCACCAAATCCCAGTCTTGGCGTTGTGTTTTCATTGGTTGCACTCTCTAGATTGTGAGCTGTTCAAGGCGAATCCCCTGTCCTGCTGCATGAATGTCGGCCAGTTGTGCTGAGTGAGGAGGAGGCTAATGTGAACAGCCCACGGCCTGACCCTCAGTTTTCAGCGTGGGTGCTTCTGGGTCTGCTGCTGGTGCCTGTGTTTGCTCTTTGGAACAGAGGTTTCTGTTTGATTCTAATTTCCTTTTTTTTTTTTTTTTTTAATAGACTCTATCAAGAAGAATTTCCAATCCATACCTTGAACATGCTTCTTCCCAGGTATGATTTTCTCTCTCTCACACACACATATATATTTGGGTGGGGGTGGTCTGTCTCTAACAAATCCTGTACAGAATTCTCAAACTATAGCTGTTCCCTCTGCTCCTGACCTTATGGGCTTCATAGAAGTGCTGCAATGTCACCTGCCAGAGATGACACGACCAAGATGTTTGATTTGTTTTGATCGTGTATCATCATTCAATTTATTCACAAGATATGAAAAATATATATTTTCCCATTTCCCACATCCTTTACATGAGTGTATTGTCAGTATAGCAGAGTGAATATGTAATATGTTACTCATTTTCCTTCTTGATAGAAACACCACATTTTACAAAGGGCAGCTAGCTTACACTAAAAACTTTGTGTCAGAGGAGATGTATATTTAGAGTTGTCTGTTAGAGGACTATGCCCTGTGTGCTCACTGATGAGAATGCATGAATATCTACACTGGTTTGGAGTTAAAAGATTAGTCACCAGACATTTGCCTTCTTTAGGATAACAGGAGACTGAGATTTCTGAAGGCAAGGAGTGTCTTACGATGTTCCCCACTGTATCCCCTGCATCCGGAAAAGCTCTGGCACATGGCAACTGCTCAGCAAATGCCTCCTGAATGACTGAGTGATCTTGAAGGATTTTAGGACTTGTCAGGTGCTAGCTGACTCACACCTCTTCCCTTGTAATACTTTCTGTCATCTGGCTTTTTCAACCTCTGATTAAAAAAACAAACAAAAAAAAGGTTTTAGTGTGCTAAAAATAAATCATTTTCTGCCCTTTTCACTTTCTCCTCATGTCGTAGTTAGGTGACAACATCAGGGCAATTAAAAAAGTATAAAGATGGGGTTGACGTATTGCCTGTCAAATCATAATATATTATCAGTGTGTTTGCTCTGAGTAAAGAACTGCAGAAGTAGCCCAGTGGTAGAGCACTTGCCTAGCATGCAGGAGGCTCTGGGTTCAAACCCCGGCACTGCAAAACAAATCAAAACAATCCAATGTATATTAATTTTACAAGTGTTTATCTTTTGAAGGCTTTGCGTTTTCATGTAGCCTCCCTCACTTATGCGACATCATTGTGCTTTGGAAGGAGATGCAATTAGGAGGTAGTTTTACACAGCGGGAGCTAGATTTCTTTAGAACTAAAGAGCATATTACTTCATCCTCCAAGAATCAAGAAACTCATATGGGAGAATTAGAAGATTATGAAAAAAAGAAGTTTAATGAAATTTTTATCTGATAGATGAAATAGTAAAATACTATCAATGAAACTAAATGGCTTGGAATTAACTACAAGCTCGGTGGTTAAGTGAAGCTTTAGAGCAAATCAGCCTGCTGTCACTTGTGTCATGGTTCAAGATGTTCACCAAAGAGGGAAAATTTTATTTTCACATTTCCCAAGACCTTTATATGAATGCATTATCAATATGGCAGATTACTATATGATATAAATACACTCTTCAACTTGCTGCAGCAATAGAAACACTATATTTTTTTAAATAGTCAATATTCTACATTGAAAACTTTGTGTTTTAAAAGATGATTTATAATTATAGTTAAGTCAGGCACTTTAGCATTTGGAAAACAATTATTACAGCTTAATAGCATAAGTGTACCAGTACCAAAATAAAATAAGGTAATTATAGGTCTGTAGTTACATGGGCTAAAATGCACCTCAAGCTTAGGGATTTGGTAATGGTTTATTGCATATAGCGTGGCATCAGGAGCTCACAAATTATCATGTTATTGTTCTGCATTTATAGTTGCATGTCTGTCTCTTCTGTTTAGATTTACGGAGAGAATTCTTCTTGTGCAGGAAGAGCGTTGAGGAATATTATTATCATGCAGGCAGCCGACCTGGTAAAGGACAGAGTGAACCTTAAGGGGTTTTACAGGTAACCCGGTTTCCTAACACCTTGTCAAAAAATCCTCCTTCGGGGGAAAAGAAAAAAAGATTGTGTTAGCATTGTGATCTTGAGCGGAGAGAAGACCATCGTGGCACTGGCAGTGGAAGGGGCTGGTGTGTCTGTTGGGGATTCTGGTAGTGACTTTTCTTTTGTTAAATTTCACACTTGTTAGGCTTCTGGTTCTGAAAGTAGGGTGTGGAATCCACAACCACAAGTATAGTTTCTGCTATGCTTCCCTAGAGATATGATATTTTATAATAGTATTTTCCTGGGTATGGGCTGCACTGGCAACTTCAGGAACTATAGATCCTCTCTTTAGAGAATTTACAAAGGCTTTGTGAGGATATTTAGGTGCTTGGACAGGAGAACTACCCAAGACCTCCAGGAGAGAGGGAACCACCTTGGGTGCACTGCAGAGTGGGGAGAGGCAGGTTGGCAGAGGACAACAGTTGGCTGCCTGTGATAGTGAAGAAAGCAGAGGTGTATTACAGTAAATTCCTGTGTTCCTGGCCGTTTTACAGCATAGCTGGGCTTAGCATAGCTAAGTGTGATCACTTAGAAAGTCTGAAGCACTGTTTCATGTTATGGAATAGCTTAATTAAAAACAAGGCTGGGCGTGGTGGCTCACACCTGTGATCCCAGCACTCAAGAGGCAGAGGCAGGAGGATTGCCATGAGTTTGAGGCCTGCTGGGCTATGTAGTAAGTTTAAGGCCAGTTTGAACTACACAACAAGACTCTGTCCCAAAAAAAGTGAACTATCAGCTTTTGATTTTGCCAAGATATAAAGCTACACTAAAAAATTACAAAAGAAAAACATTATCATTCATTTTCACTCTTCTTTCTTAAAGAAATACCACTGTAGTACCATAATGAGTAGGACAAGTATTCAGAATAAATGACACCAAAAATTTGGAAGTAGTCTCTAAATAAAGGCTATTCAAGATAAATAAATTTAGCTTTATGAAAATTTTACTGTAATATTTCTTTTTGTCCATTGACCACAGATGAAAAATTTTTCATTATGGCATGGTTTCGGGGGATAATGATTCCCAGATTTTCAGAGTAAGAAGACCAGTTATGCCTTTTGTATTAAGGCATAATTAGTATTCAACAAACTACAAAAATCTTAAGTGTATATAGCTTGATGAATTTCTTTGCATAATACACCTTTTTCATCATTATCACCATTACCATGACATAGAGAATTTTCATGTCCCAGAAATTTCTTTCATACCTCTTAGCAGTTAGTAACATCATTTGTAAGTGAGTATTTTTTTAACATCAAAAGCTTGGCAGAATTTTTATTCTTTCTCTGTTTTTTTGTTTGTTTTTGTACCAAGGATCGAACTTGGGACCTGGCGCTTTTCAGGCAGGTGGAATTTGTATTCTTAAGAGCCATTAATTAAGCAAATACAAAATGTGGGGAAGAACCAAAATGAATTAGGACTTTAAAATCTTATATTTAATTAATTAACCACACAAGCCTTTTCTTAAGTTTTAAAAAAATATGTTGTGGCCTGGACCTTATCAGTCTGTCTACAGACAGTGCTTTGGTGCATTTGGACTCCAAGAACCTATTGAAAAATCTCCATTACCCACTTTGCCTCCCACCAGGGATTCACAGCCCTGGTCTGAGGATGAGGACAGAGCCCAGGCTGAGCAGACACAGCAGGGAGGAGGAGGGGATCTACTTCAGTGAGAGTCTCTTCCTTTTCTTTTCTTAAAATAGATGGCAGTATCAACTGTAGACACATCTGAATTTTTTTTAAACTAGAATTATACTTGTAAGTCTTTGAGCTTATAGGATTCGTTTTAGTCACTACATAAGGCTGTTGTAAGCTCCATCATCTTTAGTTTTTTGTTTATTTGTTTATTGTAGTCTCTGGTGAGATGTATGTTGATCAGGTGTGTGGGAAAAGGACCATCTGAGATCAAAGTCAGAACATATTTAGGATTTAGTGGGAGCAAAGTGGGGAGAGTGTATGTTTTTCCATGATTAGGACAGAACTTCTTTTCTAATCTGGGTCTGTATACCCCGGGAGAATTCCCTTTTAAAGCTGAAAACTTTTCATTTGGTGCTGGAGGAAGTCACACTGGCTTCTGAGACTTCACTTTTGCACAGAGAAGACACTAAATACCACCATCTCATTAATGTTTAATGCTAGCATCTGCATTACCTTGAATTAATTGCTAAAATTATAATGGATAATGGAAGACAGGAAGCGGCCAAGAATAAACACATTTTCCACTCCAAAGGTGGGTGAAATTTAGATTTTGTTATAGCAATCGGTGGGCTTTGCAGCTCATCACCTCCAAATCACAATGTGCCTCCCTGGTATTGCAATGTTGTAGTTAGATCTGCATGTACTTAGAACAGTTTCCAGGTTGAGTATAGACTGAAAATAAACTGTAGATAAGAACTGCTGTTGGTATTGAAATTGCCCTGTTCCATCCAACTCTTTCCTTCCTCACTGCTCATCCCTTGTTAGGTGGATGTAGATATTTTAACTGGATTGTTACATATCTGGTCAGCAAGTCCAGGGACCAGGAATTTAATGTTTGCTTTGGTGAAATTCATGCTAATGTTTCTCATTACACTGTTTCCCCCGGTGCAGATGGAAGGTTGAAAGTGATTTAAAACAACTGATAAAATTAGGGAGGGATGGAAAGGGATCAGGTACAACTGAAAGAGTAGCTCATCCTGTTATCCGTTAAGGTTGTCGGGGCAATACTGTGTACTAGCATATTGGTTCAAAGTCCTGACCCCTTAAAATAGGGTGTGCCCTTCCCAGTGACAAAGGAGAGCCGGAAGATTGGGACTTTGTGGTCCGCAGTATCACCTGGGGAATCTCAGGTCTCACACAGCCTTGCTGTATCAGTCTGTATTTTATCAAGACCCCAGGGTGACTCTTAATGATTTTTGAGAATCTCTGATCTATGAAATTTCTTGCCCATCGCCCTTGTACAAACAAGCAGATGTATCTACCTAGCCACCCTCTGCAGCTTCGTAATTTGGTTTGTTTAGTAAACTTTATATCGCATGCTTTCATATTTCAGGTGATATCAGGCACTGAGCAGGTTAGGAGTGGCATTGTCTTAAGAGTATGAATTAAGTTGATACAGAATTTAATCTGTGGAATAAAATTGCTTTCAAAGCCTAAAAATGCTGCCTAATTGAGAGAAGTTGAGGAATCAGTTAATTAACACTTTGAACCTTCAGTGTGAAAGGTGTCTTATAGAATGGGAAGTTAATATTGATTGGTTTAATTGTCTGTTTTGTTGCCATCTGTTTTCTTATTTTGTTTTAAAACATTTATATATTTGACTGTTACTGTCTTTATTTTCTAAATGCTAACCTCCAGGTGAATACATCTAACATTGGCTTAATTGCCTAAAAGCATCTTTCAAATAGTGGTATTTTACCAGAAAAAATGCTATATCAAAACTAGAATATTTGATCAAATATCTCAACAGAAAGATCCAATATCATATTTTTCTCACCCCAGAAAATGTAGCTCCTCATGGCAATTCTTCATATTATTTATTACTGTTTAAGTACTAAGTATTTATTCTTGTGCCAATCACAAGAGATAGAAATACTGACATCTTTCAATACTATCGAATAAAAATTGCCATTACATGATTCATCAGTCTTTTAACACTTTAGTGATCTTTTCTCATAAGAAACGGTAGAATACAATGACATTTCTGCAAAGGAAAAAATAGACTTGAGAAAGCTTTGTTTTATTTTTCCCTTGAAGCTAACACAGATGGGAAAGTAGGTACTAAGATACTGCTTGCAGTACCCAGACTGGGATTATAGTTGTATATTTTAAGACAGATTACAGAGGTGACCTGTGTGTGTGTGTGTGTGTGTGTGTGTGTGTGAGAGAGAGAGAGAGAGAGAGAGTTTTAGTAGGATCCAACATACAGATCTGGATTTTATGGATTTATGATGTTTAACTAGTTTGACTTAGATTATGTTAAAAAGATGAACAATCAAAGTTATTGTTTTTTGAGACAAATTTTAGGATTTAATCTTTGAAGATTGGTAAACAAAACTTCGTATTGTTTTGAATGGTCCCAGATTTTTTCTTTTTTCTGTGTGTGTGTGTGTGTGTGTGTGTGTGTGTGTGTGTGTGTGTTGAAATAAGCAGTATTGATTTGTTTGGTAAATTTTATATCATATGCTTTCATATTTCAGGTGATATCAGGCACCTATGTAGTTCAGGCTGGCCTTAAACTCACTATGTAGTTCAGATTGGCCTTGAACTTGCAGCAATCCTCCTGCCTCAGCCTTCCAAGTGCTGGGATTACAGGAGTGCACCACCACACCTGGCAAATGGTCCCAGTTTTGTCTAATCTTCTTAGAAGGAACTAGATAAAAATCTATAGATGGTTGAACCAAAATTTATCACCATCAACTTGATGTATGTGGCTTACCAAGGCACATCAGTGCCTTATATAAAGGGCTGATAAATTTATTCCTTCATTCCTTCAAACAAATTAAATTTTGAGAACTCACTGTGGGACCTGGATTGTTCTAACTGTTGGGGATGATAGTTTTATATAGTTCTTGTTTTCCTAAAAATTATTTTCTAGTGGTATAAGCAGATAGTGTTCATTTGGATAGATACATGAGTACTTACCTATTAGGTGCTGAGAATTTGATTCTTAATTTTCCCCAAGAAAGTGATAGTAAAGCATTAATTTGAAAGGCAAATGAGAAGTTATGGTTTATTCTTGAGCTCATTCAAATATACAAGCCCATGAAAGGGGTGAGATATAATATCAAGTTTTTGGCAAATGTAACAGCAGATTCTTACTGGCCATGGCTTTGTTTTTGTCCAGGAAAAGCTGCGTTGGGTCAGAACTGGTCGACTGGCTTCTAGAGCATTGTCCTTTTGTCCCATGCAGAGCTATGGCCATAGGGGTCTGGCAGCTCCTATTGGACATGGGGATCATGTCATCAGGTTGGTATTGTGTGTTGTAAACATAAAGCATCATTATTTTATTAAGCTATTATGCCAAAATACACTTGGTTTTCTAGAGGATACTGCAAACAAGATGGAAATTGTTTTTGAAGGTGTTTCTCATGTTCTAAGTAAAAATGACAGGTCATCTCTGGAGTCACTTATTTCTTCTACATTTTGAAAAAATAATTAGGTACTTATGGATGTATAGACTAAAACCTTTAGAAGTCTTTCCTTCATCATACCTTCCTTCTCTACTCAAAATGTGCTCTGAATTTTTTTTTAATTAGTGACACCCATAGTTGCCCGCAATGTGCATTTATCTTCCTGTACTTGAAGTAATCATCAGAAACTATTTTTATGAGTGGGATGTGTGTACCATTTAAATTGAATCAGTAATCATGAACACTTAGAGATGTGACCTATGAAAGTTAGCTGTTTAAACGGGGCAGAAAATAGATGTTAACTAGGAACTAAAATAGACGGCAATATCTCTTTCCTTAGCTGAGCCCAGGGAATTGGAGGATTAGAAGCCAAGCAATCTGGTTTCTTTATTTAGCTCAATCTTTCAGGTGCTGATTGCTTATGGAGAAACCCTTTTTCCTATCAGTCATGAATATTGAGGACATAACCCTGCTGCCGTGGTGCGAGAATGGTACAGACAAGGGTGTTGCCGTGATTTTCTTAGGCAGATACCTGGCTTCTCGTACTCTTATTTAGAAAATTGGTTCGCTACTTTTCAGGAGTGGAGATATTATTAGTTTATTTACTAGGTTCAGGCTTTTGGTTAACAAAATGTTTTATGCTAATGCTATTTGGGAAAAAAATCTTCACCTTTTGATTCCTTTGAAATGGGGTTTTCGAACCTTGTCAGTACTGACATTTTGGATGGGACAATTCCTTATTGCAGGGAATTGTCCTGTACATTATAGGATTTTTAATAGCACCCCTTTCTTCTCCTTCTGAATGTCAGTGTGATCTCACACACACACACACACACACACACACACACACACACACACACACACATACGTATGTACGTTAGGCCTCTGGATGTCACCAGCTATGCCCTCAAGGGGGCACAATCACCCTCAGTTGAGAACCACTAATCTTGCTGACCTTGCATCATGTTATATTTGTATATCACTAAAGAAATTAAATATATTAGTTTGCTTTGAGACACTATAAAACATTTTTGCCATCTTCTTTGAATTGACATTGATTTCATTGGCATTTATCTGGCAGCAGGAAAATTATAAAATATGTGTGAATATGCTGGCCAAATCTTCAAGTAATAAGAGTAGACTAGCCAGTAAAATACTTTCAAATTCAATGAGATTGTAAACATAAGTAAGGTTAGGATGTGTGATTATTCTCTTACTTATGACTTCACCTTCATAATTATTAGGGCTTTCAATGTGTTATTTAATTTATGACTCTCTGATATAGTAATATCAGATAAGTAATCCATACCTTTTTTGCTGTTCGTTTGTTTCAAACAGTGGACCAACACCTCTACTTTCAAGATAATTACGTTTTCTATCAGTTTTCATCTGATGAATGTAGCTACTTGTATTGTGAATTTGAAAGAGAAGAAGAATGGCAAAATGGTGTCAAACTTCTGCTACAGCTTGTGCCTCTCATTCCTGCCAGAGCTGGCATCTGTGAACTGTAAGTAGACGCTGTCTGCAGTGTGAGATTATTCTCACTTGGAGAAGATGTCTTGTGTCAAGTGACTGTGTTCAGCTACCTTGTTCAAGAGGTAGATGGGCTGTTTCCATTTCTCACACGCAAGTTCAGAAAGGTAAAATAAATAGCTGAAGATTAAATACAGCTCCTAAATGGCCGAACGGGTGCACAAATCCCAGACATCCGTGTCTCACCAGCTGCACCACGCTCCTTCTAATTTTCCATTGCTGTATGAGTAGATGATCTAAATTAGGGGTGAACATATGAATGGGCTTAAGCTGGAATGAAATAATCACTCACGTCTTATCCACTATCCAAGTCGTGACTGTGCTCAGCAAGAGCTCAACAGGCCTTTCTGAAAATAATTTAGAGGCAACATTTGGCAAATTAAAACATGTGAATCATTATCACATGAAGATATTGAATCACTATATGATTAAAATTAAAATTGGAGGAGGCCCCTCTGAAGAAGTCTCATGCACCTGAGACCTGTCTGTTCTCCCAGAAGACTGCATTGTAAGCGCCACACTTCCCTCTGGCGTGACCTCTGCGGGTGGCCCTGTGGAATTGTTTTGAGTCATTTTAGATGACACACTGCCGTTGCGTATTCGCTTTCCAATACTGAGTTGTAGTTTTCGAAGAAATGAATTTGGAGGTAGTGTGAGAGGAAGGAATGCGTCTTATAAAATGTTGTGGCGAAGGCCATCATTGACCTGTGATGAGGAGGAGTTTTAAGCGTGGTGTTAAAAATCTGATGGGCAGTTAAGGGAATTACCAAAGAGAGTTTATGAGCTCACCGGATTTCAATGTGGATCTTGTCTTTATTCAATGAACCTGAAAGACGAGGTTCCCATTGAAGGGTGAGAGGAAGAGCTCGCCATTGTGGCTCCACATCTGGTGGCTGCTATTTACATTCCTCCGCGGAGCCCACATCTTCATGAGCTTCTTTGCAGATGAAGGTTGAACACTTCTGCTTCGTCGTCAGGGCAGGACCAGAGGCCTCCTTACAGGCAGCTGACTTTCTGTTTTCTTCTGTCTTTTTCCATGGCTCTTGTCTACTGCCTCATCTGGATTCATAAGCAAAACCTGAAAGCCTACAGAATGAATGTGTTGTGGTTTATCTAGAAATAATACAGAAAATATTGCTGTTATTTTTGGTGAAGAAAATTTTGTATAGTTTATTTCAATCCAAATAAAATGTGAATTTTGTTTTTAAAAAATTAGAGGAGGCCTGGGAACAGGTCTTGAGTCATCATAAGGAGATTCTGAATGCCTTTATTTATTGATGATGATAGTATGACAAGTTTATTTCTGAAATATTAGTTAAAGATCAAATTTCAGTTGAAAACTTTTATGTAGGTAGAACATCTCAGATTTCAGACTGCTTTCCCATGTTGTTGACTCTTTCAGTCGTGTGATCTTAGCAGGTCAAATAGAATTGTCCTTGTTTCTTAGGTAAAAAAAGTTCAGAAATAAACACTGTGTAACCATAACAGAAATGAATTACTCTTAAAGTGATGATGTTGAATAGTTAATGAAGTTGACTATATTATCTATTTTTATCAAAGAAGTTTTAGAATATTTATGAGACGCTGTATTAATAGAAAGATTGATTGCACAGAATATATTTTATGTCAGGTACTGTGCTAAATAAATGCCTTATTTCACTTTCTATTATTATCCCATTTTGCAAGTGAGGAAACTGAGGGACAGGGTCAGGTAACCTGTTTGGGGTCACACAAGTAGCAAGCAGAGTCTGAGTTGTCTGAATCCATATCTGTCTAGTTCTGACACCTCTGCTTTTATCATCTGCTGTGGTGTGCTCTCACAAGTTATGGAGGTCATTCCAGTATCTCCTTCTGAGAAATGATAAACAGAAGCTGTAAAAGTGTTAGGCCGAGTTGTGAAATTGTTATGGATTTCCCACAACCACTGTTTACAGAGGGGCTTGCAGTGGTGAAACAGAATCCAAATGTTATTCATTTAGGCTGAGTATGGGAAATGTTCTTCATTGTAATATGCTGTTAGTACAGGTCAGAAATGTCCTAAGAAATGTCAAGGAGCATTGCAGGGAACTCTAACGAGCCTCCTAAGAAGGAGTGGCATGCCCTAAACCACAGTGGCTGTAACTGGCTTTGACTAAAGGACTGGCATTCTCCAGAAGCTCTTCTCGCCCATTTCCGGTCCTGCACACAGATGGGTGTGTGTGCATCCTACACAAACACCTCGACCAACAGGGTCAGGAGGGCAGTGGAAATAACCTTGCGAACAGTCACGATTCAGCCTTACCTCCCTTCCTTCACTCAGAAGCAAATTGGAATGCCGGTGGGTGAGTTGACCTTATAAGGGAAACCCTTAACTACTTTTTTCTGAAAATGAAAACAGTTTTTCAAATTTGAGTCCTAATATTAATTGTAGATTTCTTGCAGTGCTTTGTCACACCAATCACTATAAATACACAAGTCATGCTCTGTAGTTGCAACTCACTATAGTATGCTGTGTTTACCAGCAACATTTTTTCCTCTTGTGTGAACATGTGCTCTTGTGAGTGATCACTGACTCCCACAGATAAGCGGTCACTGGGGACTGAGGAACCTGTCTATCCCTTACTGTGAGCACTAAATATAAAACAAACAATTACTGACCCATCACAAGTCTCTGCTGGAGAGAGAGGAATGTCTTGCATTTCCTACACTAGAATTACAAGCCAGGTTAAGCTCTTCTAGAACGTTCCTGCCCAAATTTTGGAAAGAGAAGCTTTGAGTTATCCAGGCTAACAATAAACTATGCTCAGAGAAAAGATGCCCAGAGACACTGTCCTCTCTCACTTGCACTGTCACAGCCCTTTCCGAGTTCCATGCGTGTGTTCCCGTCAGAATCCTGCTCTAACCTGGCAGTCTCTGCTCTTTCAGCCTCCAGCTCATGCTAATTATTCTCTCCTGGGATGCTCTTCTTCTCTCCTCTGCTGCCGTTGCTGCCACCTTATTCCTCCTCCTCCTTTCTCCTCCCTTTTCTCCTTCTTCGCCCTCCCCTGTTCTTTTTTAAAATCTTGCTAGTTAAATTCTACCCAACCCTCAAGGGGGAGCCCAAATCCTACCTTGTGTCTGGTCTGAGTCGCTCTTGCTTTTGGTAATTTGCTGCTCTTTCAGTTTTTTGTTTGTTTTTTAAATCCATCATTCTATGTCCTCAGCTATGTGCTGTTTCATTTTTATTTATTCTAGTGAAATGCCCTCTGATGTCCTTTTGATTCTTTTATTGTCCACTTATGAGATGAGAGCCCCATTCTCTGGGCTTTTTAACAACCTTTTTTGGTATTTGAAAGCTTTTACAGTTTACCTATGCAGTTCCATATTAGATCCTTCTAATTTTCCATCTCCTCTATAAGTGTCTTTAAAATAATGGAAGATAACTGCTTAATGTTTCTGTAAACAAAATTCTGTTCTGTACAAATTACTGAAAACAAAAATATAATGCAGATTTGTTCATTTTAAAAGGAACTTTTAAAGCCGGGAGGGGAATGAAGCTCCTACTAATTTTGTTTTTTGTTTTGGGTGGGAAAGGGGAGGGAACTGGTGAAGAATGAAGAAGTAACAGCATAGAGATAACAACATAGAGAAAAGTAGCCTGATGTTTCCCACAGGACTAGTAAGATGTTTCTCCCGGTCACTGCGTCGCTTGAGTATTTAGGCTGTGGGAAGCTGGACCTTGGGGCTCAGCTGTCATTACGCAGCCCCCAGCCGGCCAGGGCTGGAGATGGCTCTGACAGGCAGTCTATGAACCTCGGGTCCATGTAACTCTATCCTTCCTGTTATGGGGTGCTTGACGCGTCGTTATTGAAAGGCTAAGAGAGAATTACTAAACTTTAACTTGGGCAACACTCAGATGCTTAGAGAAAAGTGTAGCTTTTTTGTCTTTTGCTAGGGATCTGGTGTTTGTTATCTGAGTCTCCATCCTGTTGGGCAGCCAGAGAAAAGGAAAAGAAATCTCACAATCTTAGTCTAACTCAGTAAAATTATTGTAATATCATACTCTTTAAAGCCCCCTGTAAGCTGCTTAGCATGTTTTTGAGCCCAGTTTTTCTGGATTTCTCTCTGCTCCCTGACTGTGTAGCCTCTGGGTGCATGGTGAGTGCTGGGGCTCCTTGGACTTGACCAGGAAGGCCTGGAAGGGAGCCTCTGGTGCCAGAGGGGACACTTTATGTACTGGAAGCACCCTTGTCATGACTACAGTGGCCGAATGCAGTGGCCGATTTTCAGCCTTGTTATGGTTTAGATGGAGAATGCCCCCCGCAGGCCTCACTTGTTCCTGGCAGTGCTTTTAGAAGGTGGCTGAATCCTGGGGTTGCTGAAGTTGGAGCTGGAAGTGGCGGGCCACTGAGGGAGTGACCTGGAAGAGTCTACCTCCCTTCCCGCCCCTCCTCTGGCTGCTGAGACACAAGCAGCTCTCTGCATCTTTGTCTCTCTGCCACGCCATTCTGCTTTGGAGCCGGCTGACCACAGACTGAAAGTGCGAGCTAAAACAAACCTCTGCTCCTTCAAGTGGTCTGGTCGGGGATTGTGCCTGAGGGATGAGAAAGCTCTAAGACGTGCTTGTCTCACCTGACGTGTCAACATTATTTGGCACAGCTGCTCTTGCCCTTCCGGCAACAGACGTTCACTTGGTTCCAGAATAGCATCTCTTGTCTTTTTCAGGCTCTTTACTTATCTTTCCTCCTCTTGACTGTGTTAAGCGTGTGTTTCAGTGCTTTGGTAATCCGGGGCCTTGCTATTCCCAGAGAGACTGCACTTCACAGAACCAGTCAGTTCATAGAGCTAGGAAAGAACTGGCCTGTGGGCTCACCTTCTCTGTACCAGGGGTGATGCGAACATACAGTGAAGATTGAAATTTTAAACCTCATTGCAGTACCAGATACATTGTCATTAATCCCCCTTAAAACGCTCCCCCTTCTTTTTTATTTTGCCCCTTCTTTCTAACACACTCAT